ATAGTGTTGGAATGGAACTGTTCCATTGAAACCAGGCAATGATGTAACAAGATCAGCTGATGGTCCGCATAACACTGTCGAGACCAATATGGATGGAACGACCAATACGAGCTTGATCATGTTATGATGGTAATGCCTTATATGTACTTGTCCACAAATACAAATATTTATTTTATATCTTACATAATAATAATAATATTTAGTGATGTCATGACAACCATGCAGATCAGTGGAACGTCTTCCCTTATCCCAACTTGTCAAAGAAGCTGGCAATCCCATCCGTTGTGCCTTTAACTATAGAGGTGATTCCTGAACTTACACCTCCCGCTGTTTCTGAAGCATTCATTAAGATAACAAAGTATCTATGTTAACTGATACTTGTGGCTCCACTTAAAATTCCTGATATAAATCCACCGACAAGTGGCACATTAGTAAATTGATCTGAAAGTACATTTCCAAGGGACTGTGCAACGACATTGGCAATATCCACGGTGCCTGTAGCCATTCCACTGAAAGCTTTCGTGGTATCTTAAAGTATGTAAGTTCAATAGACTTTTCTGGAATGCTCCTTACTTGCTATCACTTTTGTAGGAAAGAACATGTCTATCAAGGAACGAGCTTTACCGTCGTTAAGTAGCTTGCACCGTTGAGCAATTGAGCATGTTTCTTCTACTCCTATTTGTCTCGATAGGGTTGACAGCAGCTGCTTGGATTGCTGGCAACTTTCGAATGAAACTCCGGGATTACATTGAGCCGTAGCAGTGAATTGATCGTCAGCTAGGCTTCTCATGAATTCGATACAATTGGTACAGCCATCAACTATAACGTGCAGTTAAAGAAGGTAAGCAAACGAGATAGAGTGTGTGAGAGAGAGAGGTTATTACCTCTGATTACGTTGCTGTTAACAGTAACTATAGATAGAAGTAGTAGAGAGTATATTCCGAGCATCTTCAGTCTTTATCTGGTTCAGAGAACAGAGAGCTCAGCTTTAAGTAGTCAAACGTTATCAAAGCGGTATCAGGTTCATAATATTTATTCAAAACAATGTGACTTCCGTATTCAGTTCTCTTTCTCATGGATATAGTGCAGAACCCCAAGTACTTTGAGAGATAAGCTCTTCAAAAAATCAGAAACGTCGTCATCCGAATCTGAATGCATTCGTTGACTGCGTCATCTTTTCATTCATACCTTCAGCAATTTCGTCGAAAAACTTCTCAATCGAACTTTCTGCTGCTAATGTTGACCAAGATGAACTGTTTTGGTCTCGGTCGTCGTCAAAAATCTGAATATGTAGTTCTTTAGTTGCGTATATGGCAGAGTGCAACCTTCAAAGCATTTTGAACAGTGTACGATGGTGAATGTTTTTTCACTTCATTCTCCTTCTCATCTACTTCATCATCGCATATTTTCATTTTACTACATATAGTGGATGGTTTAGCTTCTCGGAGTAGAACTGAAGCTGACTAAGATGATGATACTGTATATGATGATGTTATGCGACAAACGTCTTACCTCAATCAATGGCATACAGCCTTGCTGAGCCTCAGCCGAGAAAGCTATAGAGCATATGAAGACGGAAACCTGAAATGAGGAGATGCACAAGGACTTCATCTAACCCACAAGCTCACACTTTTTCCTATTGAGTTGTTGGTTAATACAGAGAGGAACTTAGTTGCAACCTTACATGGTGTGCAGAAGAAGCTAAATGAATTCTGAAGATAATGTTTCAGAAGAAGCTATGCTTGCTTCAGACCTTCACAGCAATCGGCTTCACAATAATATCGTCTGTTATATTCTGCTGTGTAAGAACTGTTGGAATGAAATATAGAAGACAAAGCAAAGTAATCTTCATAACTATCGACTGAGGTAGTGAGTGAAAGCCATTTTTATAGCTTCAAGACAGGCAACACTGCTTATCAACTTTGGACAAATAAAGTAGATCATAAATATATATTAATTAAAGTTAGTTGGGACAGCTGTTGAGTAATCTCTTTGTTTGACAAAGTTGTAGATCATTTGAAGAGCTTCTCTTGGCTTGTCTTCTGGAACGAAGTGGCCACTGCCTCGAACGGTCAAGAAATCCAAATCTTCAAACAGTTGGTTAGATATGATAGCGAGGTATACAAGTACTTCCTGAGTATTTGGTTTGCATTCCAGCTACGTTTGGAGTCTCTCCATTATAGAACCATGGTTCGTTGACACGTTCTTTTCCCTGGAGATTGGTTACAGTTAGAACATATTGCCTCAGGGTTACTTACGATGATGGTTCTGTTAAGAGCAGTAACGAACTGTTGGTTCATAGCAAGATTGCAAACAGTATCAACATCTCCGTTATAGATCAAAACCTTCAATTCAGTTAAGATTGTTTCCTTTCTTTGGTCATCAACTAACTCTGACTCCAGCGGCATTAATGGCTTCTACTTCCATCGTCATGTCCAGATGTGTTGTCTTGAACAAACCATTGACTACATCACTAAAAATAATATTTTCTTCTCCTCCTACTCTTTCCTGTCTACGTAATTCTCTTGTTATGATATTGATAACAAAAGAATAAGTTATTTTCAACTTACTTGCAATCATACCACTTCTTGATAGAGGTAGGGATGTGTAGAGCTTTACGAACTTCAGCCTTATTCAACCAAGTGGCAGTGTTTTCTGTTTGGGCACAAAGTGGAACCTGGATACCATGCTCATAATAAGTATTAGGCAGATCGTTAAACTCACAGAAGAAGCAGCCGCGCTTGACAGTTGTTTACGGACTGGTAAGCCGAATCGTCTGCGAAGGTTTCTATCGATGAAGTTACGCTTCATGCTTTGATCTCCAGACAAGTAACAAGCATGGTAAAGATTGTATGGATCAAGGTCATCTGTTCCTTGTAAAGCCTGAAAATGTAAATATCATAGATATATAAAGTTCTGTTTGCTCACTTCCAAAACAGGTTCACGGCAGGTTGAGTGATGGAACAGTCCATAGATATCACAACCCTCAATGCTTCCGTTGCAGCAGTTGTACTTGATCTTGTTGTAAAGCCTAATGAAGTGGATTTTTATCAGAATCATCGAAAGCTCCTACTCGTCACGCAAGACTCCGTGATAGTAGTATAGAGGGATCATAGTGTCGTAGTTGTTATGTACGTTCAAAACTCCGTTACCGATAGCCATACCCTGAAAGCTTCAGACGTTTGTACGATGTAAAAGCTTCTTAAGCACCTTGAAGTTGGGGAAGTTTGTCTTATCTTGGATGATTTTGAAACCTAAGGTTGGTAAATAGATGCCTGCATATGATTCTCCAGTAATATAGAACTCTCTTCCTCTGTATTCAGGGAACTTGATAAGGAATTGAAGCTGTATAAGGAGTAAGATAAGTATGAGTGAGATGAAACATCATTACTAGAGCATCATAGTTATTCTGAGCAACTTCATCATCGTTTGTTTTGATGTCATCGTTAGTGGCATATGAGTATCCAACACCAGCTGGAGATTCAATGAATAAGACATTAGCGAACTGTATAAGTGAGAGTGAGAGAACAAAAATGAAAGGTGATTACCTTGTTCCATGAACTGGGGTTCAAGTAAACTGTGTTACCGAAATCGGCAATATGGAAAGGTCCAAGCTCTTCAATCAAACCACCTACTGATGAGCAACCTGGCCCACCGTTGAGCCAAAGAAGCAAAGGATCAGATGATGGATGAGATGTTTGAGATTCTGTTAACCAATAATGGAAATATTTGGTATTTGAAGCT